AAGTATTTTGAATTTATAACTATCATTATGTTGCTAAATAACATTGACTCTGGAATGACTGACTTCCTTTTGCAGTAATTCAAAAGTATTATGATAGCTATAGTTTTATAGTGAGCATAAAAATTGGTGAGGTAAATTCAATGAGGTAAGGTTAGTGCTGGAAGTTTTATTAACAAAAACTATAAGTATTAGCACATGAGTTACAGTTCCCATGTGTTTTCCAAAATTTGCTGGAACTAAACTGAATATTCTGAACTTTGGACTAGTTGCTCTAAACTACTTAATTTTAGAGGTAAGAATGGGTAAAGATATAAATTTAAAAATTCAGGTGCAAAATTCAGGTGTCTGCAGCTTCAAAATGTTCTGTCTTTTCTGCCTTGAATTTTACATACATCAGATGTTTGTGCTAGACATGAATGTATGGCTTGCCAGTACAATTTTGCTTTGAAAAAGATAATCTTTATCATATCAGATGAAAAAATGAGGGACAAATACGATGAGATAGTTTTCATTATATTTTCTTATTTTAGAGTAGTGTGTTGTTTTTGTTGTTGTGGTTTTTTTTTTTTTTTTTTTTTTTGTTGTTTTTTTTTTTTTTTTTTTGTTTTTTTTTGTGGCTCTGGAGAGTACAGGTGGGACACATGATATCCTTTCTATAATTGTAGTTCAGTTCTCATGTTTGCAGAAGGACCCATGTGAGAATATCCTCTCTGTGCTAATAATTCAGTACTTCTGTATGGAAAATTGCTCTTTTATTCTTGGTTTAAATTGGTTTTCATAGTAACAGCTTCAAATTTCCCCACATGTATGTGGATGCATAAACACAGGCACTAAGATCTTGAATAGAAATTTGGGGTTTTTTATTTAACTGAAGTTTTTCCTCAAAAGATGGCTGCATAATATATTAAGAGAGTAAATAATAGCCCAGAAAATGTGTAGTGGTCATGAGGAAGGGAGGGAATGATGGTGCAGAAGGGGAGGAGCCAGACTCCAGGGCACAGGGGTGAATATTGGCTGCAGGGTGCTGGAACAGGGGTGTTTCAGGAGGGGCATTAACCGTGGGTTCAGTTTTTTGTCATTACCCCAGCTGTGCTACTACAGCACACTTAGCACTTCAGTAGGACCTTCAGGATCTGTTCAAAAAAATACAGTCAAACATTTGCTTTAAATGTATCTATTTATGATGGCAAAGTAAATTATTCTGAACAGTGAAACCCAGTAGTGCTGCTACATGTTTTACCTCCCCATGGAGCTCCTTAGCACTAAACCACTTCCATAAATGATGTATGTAATATGGCATCTAACTTAAACAGTGAGCAGTAAGGAACTTCAAGGAACAGACATCACTACTGAAGCTGATCATGAGTGGTGGGTGATGACATGAAGATTAATCAAGTTTGACTTTCAATTTGGCAATTTTTGCCACTTACATGAACTATTTTTTTCCAAAAGTATAACCCAGTTCTGAAGTTTTTACAGTGTCTTGTGTATTTCCAGAGCAAGTGACAGAGTTTATTGTATGGAATAGTAGAAGTAAGTAGCTGCTGAGGGAAAAGAAGTTAGACAAAATTAAAAAGCAATTTACGTGGAGAGAGGTCTTTGAAAACCTTGGTAGCTATCAGATCTGGTTTTGCTTTATTTTTCTTGAAAATTATGGTGTTCTTCAGACTGCCAAGTTTTACTACTAAATATACTGCCAGAGCTTGGGAAAAATAAGTGAAAGACTCTTAAAATTAGATAGTGTTGAGTGAAAAGCCAAAGAGAGGGATTTTGTGTACGAAAAATGTAGTATACATATAAGTATATAGATATATATATATGTTGCTGTAAAACGACCCGAATTTAATTTCCTTTCAAATAATATTTAAAGTGCCTTAGATGGAAAAACAGTAGTAACAAAATGGCAGACATTCCTCATAGCGTGCTGGCACCCTCCATCTAGAATACTTCATTGTTGTGTTATTTTTGGGAGATGCAATTTCACAGTACCATTTTCAGGGAAGAGAGAATTTCTTACATTGGCAAATTCACCCTGGCCAAAAATGAAGTAGTATATTTTGTTTCTGGTCATCCAGAAGATGAGGAACTGATTTAACAGCATTTTGCTTTTCTACCATCTGGAGGTTCTTATTTGCCTTATGAAATGATGTCATACACAGTGCTGAACAGATAGTGAAAGGTCGCCTGCAGTTCAGGCTGAGGTAGTTTTGTTTCCTATTATGAGAAATGTAAAAGTCTTGGTTCATGATTACTGGAGGCAGAAAGATGACTTTAGGGAAGGAGAAAATGACTGACATAACCGATGTTCTCCTAAACCTTCACACTGCATTCCTGTGAATAGAAAATCCATCTGCACACCCAAGACCACCCACAGCATGAGCTATCTATTCCCTCATCCAGACTGGCACTGGCTCAGAGCTCTGCCTCCACTTTCAGAATGACTCCTTGCTGTGAATGTTAGTTTGGGGATGATATATTTATTCCATTGAAATACTTCATCGTGTAGGTGCATTTTTGAATTATAGTGCTCTGCTGTATCAGTCTCAAGACAAGGAGATGTAAGAAACTAGATATGTATGTCAGAATTTTTTCTGCCACCTAAGGCTGTGGTGGACATGCTGTGCTCTTTCCTTCCCAGCTCTTGCACTGTCCTTGTGTGAATTGGGTTCGATGGGATTGAGATTCTTTGGCTATTTCTCAGTGCAGTTGAAGCTGCACTTTGGTTATGCTTTAAAGATTTCATACGGAGCTAAAGCAGGATTTGAGTCTGAGGAGCTGGAGTGGACAGGAGCTCTGCTCCTCTGTCCCATGCAGGTTGTCACTCTGGGCATTCAGAGCCACTTGCTCACCCTCTCCACCCTCCTTGTGCTCCCAAGTTTTATTGCCCAAAATCCCCCCACTCCCGAGTTGAATCTCGAGAGCCAGGGTGTGTGGGAAGAAATCTGTGAAGAAGAGTGAGAATTGCCTGCTGAGCCCTTGGGGCAGGGACTGGGTGGGCAGAGAAGAAAACATCCTTGACTGCCGGGGTTGGTTCAGGCAGGCAGGACAGAACTGCCCCTGTGGAAGCTGCTGTGTTATCCCAGCCACGGGAAAATGGTGTCAGAGCTTTGTGTGGGGACTGAGCACCTCCAGCTCCCTTGGCTTGAGGCTCTGGGCTTCTGCCTGGTGGCAGCTGGAAAATGAGCCTGGCAGTGCCTGGTGGGGAGAGCCTGCTCCAAGGTCCTGAGAGCTCCTCAGCTGCAGCTCGATGGCCCAAGAGATTTCTGTCATTTCACTTCAAGGATTGCTTTCAGACGTGAAGCAAATAAGTGATTAAGTATAAAGATGATGTGGTAATGAGGTTCAGATGAGGTCTTTTATGTTTATTGCAAGAGGTCTGAAAGCTTGCTGCTACTATTATTTCTTGTTTTCTAATTGAAAAAGTCATCTTTGAATCTTTACTGCATGCTGCTTATAAACTGAGAGATCCTATTACTGTAATATTGTAAAAAATGTCTTAAAAATAAAATAAATCCAGTGTAATATAAATCTTTTTTTTCCAGTGTATAGAAAGGCAATGAGCCATTTTAAAAGCAGGAAGAACATGCATTTTGAGGTCCAATAGATCATCTAAATTGGTCCCAAACCAAATTTTAAAGTGGTATTGAAAATACTTTCACTTTGAATAAATTTAGTGTTACAAAATTCAGAATATACATAAATATAGATTTTCTGATTGTTTTGCATTTTGATAGTATTCTGATTAACTAGGGAACAAATTGGTTAATAGAGAAGACCCTTTCTGACTGTTCCATCTGCAGAACTTAAAAATGCTAAGCCTCCATTTATGCTCTTTCAGTTTCTTCCATCCAGTTTTTTATTATGAATTAGCCTTATACATTTCTAGGAAATATAAACTTTAAACTCTTGTTCTTTATTTTCTAAAATTTGTATATTTGAAATTTAGATTAGTGAATCTAATATTTCTCACTTGCCTGACTGCCTGCAGTTCTCTAATAGACGGAGAATTATTCTAAATTGCCACCTCATACATTTTCAATCCAAACTTTGACTTCTCAATGGTGAACTTTGCAGCCAAAGAAAGCCTGTGAGTCCACTTCAGGTGAACACCTCGTGGTTCAGAGGTGCAGGAAAAGCCTCTCTTGAAGGAAACCTGTCTCTGTAACAATAAATGATTGCACTCCCTTTATCTTAGTTCTCTACTTTCTCTGATGGTTCTTAGCACTGACTGAATTTCCTGGATATATGTTTTCTTGTATTATTTTATTTACAAATAAGTTTTCAATAATATGAAACAGTGAAAAAAAAGTCTTGGTTTTCAAAAAATTCATATATGATGAATTCTGCTCTTTACTCCCAAATATTCCCCATCCCCAGTATTATATGCTGAGAGCTGCTCAGCAATTCATTTGTAGCTGCTTTTCTGAACCAGAATATGTAAACAGGGGAAGTGTTCTTGAAGGCACCAATACATATCAGGTGTGATTCTTGTAGTAATGATGGTTCAAGCCAAACATTCTCTTTCTTTAATGAATTGAGATATCTACTATTTTATTACTATATAAATTAAATTAAGAGCATAACAATTTTGCATACTTGAATATTTAGCAAGAAATGAGAAAATCAAGGGTGCTTACATGTTCTGGGCTGTTGGAATTCTTTTGGGTTTGGTTTTTCTTCTTTTTAGTATTAAAAAAACAAACAAAAACACCCCGCCAGTTATATGTGCAAAGCATTTTGCTTAGGAAAATCCTTGAATATTCCTTATTTTGTCTGATGGGGATTTGTACTTTAGAGAAGTAGTCAGACCCATTTGCTAAGAGACTTGTGAAATAAACACTGGAGAAAAGTGGAACTAAAACAATGTCTTAGAGTGCAGTTTGGAGAATTACATAGAAGAGAAATAAAACATTTCTTAAGTGCCAATAAAGGAATATTAGAAAGGAAATATGCTAATGATCTACACTGAACCCTAAAAATGGTTGATTTAATTCCTGTAGGTTGATGCCTTGCGGTTACGATTGGAAGAAAAAGAAACCTTTCTGAATAAAAAAACAAAACAACTTCAAGACCTCACAGAAGAGAAAGGAACCCTTGCTGGAGAAATTCGAGATATGAAAGACATGTTGGAAGTAAAAGAAAGAAAAATTAATGTCCTTCAGAAAAAGGTAAGGTCACTGATGAAGGGATATGTTGTACAACTTTTGAGGCACATTTAAAGGAAATACTTGTTTCTTAAAGTGTATTACTTTTAATATATTAAGAAAGATGCAGAGAATCTGTAATAGTAAAATTCTATAATATAAAATGTCTTACTGTTATCAGTGGGTACATTTTTTTAATAGTATTATATCATATATCAGAAAAAATATTAGATACTACAATTATCACAAAATTATTGGAGTTAAAGGAAAGTACTGAAAATCCTGATAAAACTTCTTATCCCTCAGCATAAGGGATTCCAGTATCCTTATGAACACTGGTTACTACTCTTCCCAAATAATGTAAATAAAGTGTGTGGGCCTGCTAAAGGATCAGGATACTGCATTTTTAGTCTGAAGGATTTTCTTTTGTGAGGGGAGAGGAGGAGAGTGGAGAAGGAACCTAAATTAAGTCAGTTATCTGCTTTCCCCGTGGTTTAAAGACATTAAGAAGGGAGGCTCCCTCCAAACAGCTAAATCTTATTTCTAATTTTCCACAGATTTAACTAACTGCATTTTCTCTCTTTGGAAGTTGGATTCAATCCTTAGAGTTTCCACGTGGGGGAGTGGGGAGGGAGTTTCCTGTAGAGGCAGCTCTGCAAGGCTTCTGCATACAGTAGTGGAAAGTTCATTTCCATATCCTTTTTCTCACACTCACAAAAATATTTATGCTACCAGAAGTGTACTGTTTATGTCCTGGGTGTCACTCTTTAGCATACAGAGATGCACTTGTGAGCATACAGAAAAATGGAGGAAAAGTTCCTGGCATCACCTATTTATATTTTACTATTCTCCTCTCCTTTTACATCCACTCAAAGAATGTCTATTCCCCCTTACTCTATTATTATGTAGGTAGTTCATGTTACTGTGGTTTTCCTCCAGGATTCATACAGGGTTCACATGGTCTAGTTGTGCTTCTGTCTGCAGTTGCTTAAGCACTGAATTAAAAAAGCCAAGTTCTTATTTTCCAGAAACTGAGAGGGCTGCTTTTTCAGGCCTGGGAAATAAGGCCTATCAAAGCTGGAATATAAGTAATCCACTTTAATCCTATTTCTGAATATTTGACTTGTTAGCAACGCTGATCATGTAAAAACAAACTGCAAGGCTTTTTTCCTGAATGCTAACTAGCTTTGGACGTTTCTTGTGCATTCTGACGAATAGAATTCATATTTTCTTATTGTTTGCATTCTAAAAAAACCACAAACCACCAAACACCTGAACAAACCAACAATTTACAATCTCTCTTGTACTTAGATCTTGAGGAAATGGGTCAGTGAGAGGAATGTGTATTCAGTGCTGAAAATTTTGTGATGAGTAACTATCACAGAGCTATCAGCACTACCCGTCATGGCTTTGTCCTCAGAAATATGCAGCATAACACTTCTCCTGTTTTTAATAAATCGTGGCCATTTTATGGGGGTGTGCAGATGGTCTTGCCTCTTTTGCACTTGCTTCTTAATGGGCATAATCATTGTCCAACTGCACCCTCTGCACTAGATCATGGAGTAAAATATGCCATAGCCTCATGAGCTCTAGTATACAAAGAGAAATCCTGCTAACAGCTGAGTGGAAAATTGGAGCTAGTACTGCACTGATTTTTTTAAAACTGGAAGTAGCACTTCCAGTAGCATTTTCTATTTTGGAGGTTTTTATTTCCTTTCATTAAGGAACTTGTGAAGTTCAGCTTTTCTGCTATGGGCTAAATACTGGGTTTACTTAGAGAAGAATTAATTTTGATAATTACTTTTAAAAAAGCAAAAAATATTACTTTTTCAGCACGTAAGTGTGTAGATTTACTTCTCTGAAGCATGGAACAATGACTGGGCCTTACAGTGGGCTACCTTGTTTACATATCCTCTCTCATCTGCTCTGGTTCTGCTTCCTCTCCTGAAAACCCTTATGGAAATCAAGGAAGTGCTTCTAGTTCATCTTTGCAGGTTCTATCTGGACATCAGATTCTTCTGGCTCTGTTATAATGCTTGCCTCTATTTTCTTCTTTCTGCTCAGGACCAAATTTTATACCCTTGTATTTTTGTTTACTTGTGATATGAGGCTTGTGAATAACCAGTTGTGCTCCTGCCTTCAGTTGTTGATGCAAGATAGATGGCTCCATCTCTCTCCACTCAGCTTGAAGTACCTCCCTCAGCCTAAAACAACATTTGTTTTAATGGTTGTATTCAAGTACCTGAAGAAGGAATAATTTGTCTATAGTGCCTAAAAATATTTCTGTCAGTAATAACCTGAAAGTGAGTAGGAAGGAATATGTAACTTGGAAATGTGCAATTTCTAATCTGTATTCCTCCTCTTATATCCATTATCTGCTGTATGGAAAAAAAATTACAAAGGAGACAAAACCAAACCCTGAAAAACTGGATGAGTTCCTTCTCTTTTCTGGATAGCTGTCACACTGGGAGGGCAGGACAGGTTCTGTTGAGTGCTCCCTACCAAAGGTGTGGAAGAATCAAACCCAAAACAGCTGTGGTGAGGCCCATGGGATGCCATAGCAATGAACACAGGATAACAAGATGCAGAAAAATTTATGGGCTAGATAAGGATCTAATGGTGCATTCTCCTTCCATGCAGAGATTTGGGTGTAATTTTTGACCAAATTGAAAAACTGCTGCACTATTCAGTATAATTTGCAGGCTTAAGGGAGGCCCAGCACTGGAGCAGCATGTGTTTAGAGGATTTGGATCAAGGTAGATTGGCATAGAGTAATAATAAACTTATGTCAATGTCAGAGGTGCAATATTACTTAATATTTCTTTCTTTTAGAACCTTTGGCACCACTGTTCCATTTTAGTGCCAGTAAAGTTGGGTATGCTGTTTTAATAGCCTTGTTTAACCTGGCAAAGCTAGTCTTACACCTCATATCTGTCAGTTTAGCATGCAGAGGGGCAGACCTCAGAAATCTTTATGTATTTCTTACCAGAACTATGTTCCAGTTCTATGAATGTGGCTGAGTTGTAGGCTGGAGGGCAAAAGTGCTGAGCTGGGTGACGTCCCCTTTTTGCTCCCAATTTTCACCTTCTGTACAGCAGGTAGAAGTTGAGTGTTTTGTCCTCTAGGAATCTGCAGATAGCTAAAAACTCCAATTATATACTCTGAAGTAGGAGTCTCAGTGATGAAAACAGTAGCTGTTGAGACAAGAACAGTGCACAGGATGTAGACCTGGATCATATTAGGACAACAGCTTGTGGAAATTCTTTTGTGGGGACTATCATAAAAGAACACCGGCTAAAGGGGGCTAATATAATATTCTACCTTGACTTGCTACATAACTTTTAATGTAAAATGTTACAGTTTCCATCTTTAATAGTTTAAGCTTTGTGATTGATGAAGTGCTACATGACTAAGGGCCTTAACCTACCAGCTAATTAGCGTTTGTAGGAAATGTCATAAAGTCTTAGTTCTCATGTAATAATTGGAATCTGTACCTGCAGTGGTTGGACTATGCACTTTAGGTGATGTTGTCCAGTTTGTGGTAAATTGTGTTGCAGAATTAATCAGATGCATTGCTGTTGGCTGTCCTCTAAAAAAGAGGAAATGTAGATGTGGTCAGGTTAGGAGAGATTGTTGGAAACAAAGGAGTCCTGCTCTTGGGCTGAGAGATTTGCATCAGTATTGTTGCTTGATGCAGGCTACAAGTGGAACATGCAAGCCTTTGCATTTTTTTTCCCCGTGGTTTAATCAGCTAGGAGCATGTTTTCATATTTCTGGGAAGGGATCAGGGCATGACAAAGGACATTTTTGATTAACTGTGTCAAATTCTATCAGAACGCTGTAAATAGGCTGTTATGTGAGCTGGCATTTTGCAATCACAAATCAGAAATCTGTTGTATTTCTGGAGTCAGATGACAAATTCTGAAAGTTCTTCTGCAAAACAGATCAATTTTCTGACTGCAGATTTCAGGTGCTAAAAAAATAAAATTAGGAAGTCTTTTTGGTGTAGCATGAAAATTTTGATGTTATAAAGCTGCTATGGTGACTATAAAGTTTTGTTTATTCAAGAATTGAATCTTTAATAGTATATGTCCATTTTAAGAGTACAGTGTTCAGTGTACTGAGTATTAGAAAACTGTACTTTGTTGGCTGCTTAGACTTGTAGCCTTGCCAAATCATGGTATGTGTTTCAGAACATTCTGAAAGTGAACTTGAACTAAATACAGTAAATTGTTCATCCAGGGTGGTGGTGTTACTGATCCCAATACATTATCAGAAAAATGTGCCCTCAAGGATTCTGCACAATCAAATGTGATTTTGGGACTGTTTGGTAAACACAAATTCCCCTTAAGCCCTAAGCTGTTGGGATGCTCTCAACCTGTACACAGAGTCACTGAGAATGATGTCATTAAGATCAGAGGCAGGGATCATTTTCATTTTTCTTTAGGTTAATTTCCCATTCTTTGTAACACATTATGCTACTAATTTTTTACAGTTTATAAGAGATCACTTGAAATACGTGACCTAATATACATTCACTTATGAAGCCAACCTGAATGTTCATCCAGCCTAAAACCATTTTTATGAGGCTGGGTAAATCCTTGCACATTGAAATTCAGGATCATTATAAACTTTTCCAGCCTTTGCTTGAATGGATTGTCCTTTCAAATTAATTTGGGCCCACTGAGGCTAGAAGTCCAGAATTTTGTTGGTCTCCCCTCCTCTATTTTCCATGACCTGCTTCATTCTGCTGTTCTTTTTCCAGCCTACCTTTCAAAAGGAGAACAGATGGATTACACACTTCTGTTTACTGTCCTATTTGAAAATAAGCACTTTGTAGGAGAAAAATCACCAAATTCCTCAAATAGAGCTTCATGTGATTACAAAACTTAAAAATTTAAATTTTTTTATGATGCCAGTTCTGTAAACATGGTAATTTTTGAATATCAGGTATATTGTAAATCATGGACTCTTAAGTAAGAAGAAATATTGTCTGCACTTGTCTACACTTCAATAATAAGTTA